CGCCAAAACCACTCTCGGCCCCGTTAAACTCCACTGGTAACGACAGTACCATCTGGAAGGGCGTTGGGTGAAAGATGAAGGTTGTTCTTATAGACATGAGCAACACCTGCACAACTGTAGAGCAAGGACTCACTGGATGCTGCTGTAATACTGACGCTTGTGTAGCACCGTGGAGAGTATGTGTATTGATTTTTTGAGCGAAAAAATTTCTTGAGCAATCCGTGTATTTCAGAGTCCAACGGATCGACTGTACTGTTACGTTGGAATGTATGCTCCTAAGGCCGGTATCAATACTGGAGCTGAGGTACTGTATCAGAGAATTCGATCACTGAAAGGGAAACTAGCGATAGTTGGAGCTGAAACTTCAAGGGGCGCTGATCGTATTATTCGAGCCTAAGCATGTCACACATACTCATCATATCCCTAAAACGGTGGGCGTGGCCGCGTACTTCATTTGGACGTGGCGGCAGCACTTGCGGTGGGAAATCTCCATTTTTACACAACTGGGATGATGTCTTCGTAAAGCACTGGACAGGATGACAGTTGTTTCAAATGGAAAGATCCCATGGGAGACGCATCCCACGCCAGGTTTAAGTGAGATACGCAGTCACGCCCACTCCAGCTATGGGATAATGGGTCCATCTGCTTGGAGGGGGACCTGTTGGCGTCCGCGCCAAATGCGCCAAAGAGGAAAACGCCTTGGGCCGGTGTTGTGAGGACGCCAATAATGTTTTTGCTTCGAGTATTCATGTGCGTTGGTTCAAACTGCTCGCAGGGGACAAATTACTAGCCCAATTTTGGTCCAATGACTTCGAAAGTTGGTATGTGAATGGTAAATGGTGCCTCATCGAGGACAACTGCAGAGGGACAGATGTTTTCGGTTTCAGAGCCGGCACCAAATCAAGTGTAATTGGTGGGAAGGGGTTTGGCTACACCTTCGGACACACTAGAAGATGTGCCCTTACCCCGCGCTCACCAGTGAGGTTGGATAGGTGCCCTGCCCCGCCTCCGAGTTCACGGGACCGCTGCCTTTCAGGGCAGTGGGCTCGAATTCTCAAGGCGGGCGATTCTCGCCAGCGTCCTTTGTGAAAGGGCTGCGAGAGGGCATCTGGCCACACCCCACTCAACCCTTCCACCAATGAGGTTGGCGACAACCGCCCACCCCCAGCCATTCTGCCCACTGCGTTTCAAATTTGTACGAATCGAAAAACGTGAAATAAATATTGGCCATCTCTCGCACGTGTAAAATAGACATCTCGTACTAAAATGTCGTTACCCTTCCAGGTACCCTGCAATCTCGGCAAATGCGCATCAATCAGAGCGATGGTCAACAGTGACGATGTCACCATCTTCACATGTATGGCCAACCAGGCATCTCGTGAGTATTAAATGTTTACACAAATTTTGCTGAAGTTTTTTAGAGGGGGGGGGTGATCCAAAGAGTTCGCTTAGCTTCCGTTTCGCATGTGCCCTTAGACGGAGCTAAGCAGTTTGTATTATCCTCCTTTTGTGCTGATCAGTAAGGGAAAGCAGGAGTAACGCGTTCAACAATGATAATTTCTTATTTTATTTCGTAAATTTGACTAGATTTTGTGAAATTTTTTTAATTGAAAGTGATAGTCATACAAGTTTCCTTTCTGTAGTAATAGACACTGCCTTCCAGGTACCTAGGCGCCCTTCACCGCTGTAATAGACTACAAGGTGACCGTGAAGTAACTGCATGCTGCTGTGACCACGCGAACGCCTGTAATGTTCAGAACAGGACCGATGTGAGGTTTTACTCATTTGGGAAGACTAAGGAACAAGTAATATCGAGTCATTCAGATAATCGTGCCAACTCCATCACCAATCCTGGAAACCCCGATTTCATGCTGGTCAGGAGTGTACGTTAATGGAGCTCCAATCACCACCGTCGGGTACGGCTTTCTAACGTCCTACTTATAATTATGAGAAAAGCAGTTACAGTAAGGAAAAGTTGCTCAAGATGGCTTGAGAGCTTCATTTCACGTACAGCCCAAGCTAAGTACAGTACCAAGGCTTCGCTGAGAGACGCGTTCCATTGAAGGCTCATTCCGCGATGAACGAATGGGCGGAGACTCATAGTCACTATACCTTCATCACCTTGGTACCCTGGCCATCACCCTAGTGCGCCTCTCCTTTCTACACCATAGAGAGGAGGGAAGCGCATAGTAGAGAGAGGGAAGCGCCAATGATGATGGGTCTCTGCCCACTTGCTGATCGCGGAATGAGCCATCAGTAAGCCACGGAAGTTGTTAGTGGCACCAGAGAAGTTTTGATTAAGAAAAGAGATTCCATTGGGAATCAGGAACAGGAAATAGCACTACTTTGCTCCCAGGACCAGCATTAATTACCAGAATTTCAGTTTCTCTACATGCTTCGGAGAATGCGCTTCAGCAAGCCTCACCACAACGATTAATGGACAAACACACACGCTGAACTCTACACTTGTGATCCTACCTCGGTCTGCAGTTCTATTGGTACGTTACAGATTTTAAAGACGGTTACCGTAAATTATGGGCTTATTGGAAGGGAAAGGGTCTAGGCGAGTAGGCGCTCCTTATGTAACTGGAAAAAGAACATTCCAAAATAATCGGCTGGACTAGATAATGGAAGTAGATTCACAAAGCGTGCCTTCTCTCACCAGCGGCTCCCCTCCTCTTGAGGGCATACGGCACGACAATTTAAAACTCGACATAAAAGGCAGCAAGGGTACTACTGTATATAGCGGGGAAAATGGCGAAAAAACGAAGTGAAACGGTCGAAAACCTGCGAAAAAGCCTTTGTTCCACACGACTCAGAAAGCAATTTCGGACGAGTTTCCGTTGGCATCGTGCCAATAACCGCTACGGTAGATACGGCTGCGTTTATGTACTCATATATCCATGCAGCACCACAGTCACTTCATACCAATGTCCTGCTAGGCATACTAATCCTACACGTCCTTGGGGACTTATCGTGCCACTTGTTTTCAAGGCTGCGTTTAAACTTCGCGATGACGCGCCGACGCTATAGACGAGGATGCAACCATGTACGAGTACTGGTCGACCACAGACAACACGGTTTTGCGGGAGAATGGAGAGTTGCCTAATAGCACACCTGATATCCTCCTATTCTCACACACTATCTCAACATACCAGCGGCCGGAGCCGATCAATACTCTTCTATGGCTGCGTTCCCGTTCAGAGCAATGGAGCGCTATTGCAAGATAAAACGACCTGAGTCATCGCAACGTATGTATACAGCTTACCGTCTGGGGAGGAGTACGCACCAAGAAGTCAAAATGATTAGTTCTCCGCCCATTTGACTAATGCGTGGAATGTGTGCTTTAAAGTCTACCCCCCCGGTAGCAGCCCATTTTTGCGCGGTCTTTGCCTCTGTATCCTTCCCGGACCATGTTATATATGAACTAACACAGTCGAAGGACCTGCACTACTGCGAAAATTAAATTCTGACAAGGGCAATGATCAAACAACTGTCTCACCGTCGAGACTGGAGTTCGGGCCTGCTGTTGTAACACCGACGCCTGTCTCACGCCAACAAGGGTCTGTTGCTTTTGGTAGACCCGTTTTTTTTTTTTTTTTTTTTTTTTTTTTTTTTTTTTTTTTTTTTTTTTTTTTTTTTTTTTTTTTTTTTTTTTTTTTTTTTTTTTTTTTTTTTTTTTTTTTTTTTTTTTTTTTTTCGTCTCACTGGATGGAAATATTTCAGAAGCCTGGAAATGTTCTCTGGTGTTACGTTGGTCTTAGTGCCCCCAAGGCCGGAATCAATGTCGGAGGAGAGGTGAGGGTTTTCTTCCGATCAAAGACAATTGGCTGTCGGAAAGGTTTACTCCATTCAGGTCGTCTGCGATGGACAGTGCTCGTCGTTGAGCGCAATCATCAACGGTGATAACGTCACCACCTTCCAATGCGCCCCAACCACAATCTGCAGGTAAGAAGCCCGGTTTTCCTCTTCCCCACCCATCAAAAAAACTCTTTCGCGTCTCAAGGTCCCTCGGTATCGGACAATACGGCGGTTGCGCACCTCTACCAGGAGATGCGTGAAAGTCCAATGCATGCTGCTGCTGCAGTAATTCGAAACAGCTGCAACTTATACCAACTGAATAGAACTGATGTAAGTGGTAAATGGCAAACCCTGGCTTAACTCTGCCTCCCAAACTGATATGCTCAATTTCAGATCTACCCCCCAACGCCATCACCTGTACAGGAGTATCATCGTTTGCGTGGAGCGGAGATGTAGGTGCGTCAAACGGAAATGCCATTACCCAGCTGGGTAATCTGTGATACGCACCTTGTATCTTTCGTTCTACACAAAGGGACGGCAGCTGGACAATGTTTGTTTCAGATTCAACCACTTGCTTCGGTGAATGCGGAAGTGTGACCATGCAGACCACAATGAATGGTCAAGCTCACAATGCCACCGTTTACATGTGTGATCCGACAGCGGTCTGCCAGGCTCTCAGTAAGTATTTCAACTAGTATTTTACACTTTTACACTTCTAGATCCTTAGTAGGTCACTGGTAGCCCTGCCGGTCCCTGGCTCGAAATGTTTTTCTGATCTATGGTCAAATGTTTGCTGTCGAAACCATACGAAGTGAGATCATAACCCTGATGGGGGGGGGGCAGTTCGGCAACGGAGGGGCATTTTGCACTTTCTCTACTTTCCCCGGACGTGTATAGCCATCATCGCTTCATGAGTTGACAAGCTAACAGGTTTCGTCGTAGCGGCTGAACGAGCCTGCTCCAGCTTCACGGGAGTTCACAGGTTTCACCAAAGTGAGACTTGTAAACCGGAACTAGTGAAGCAGCGAAAGTGCAAAATGCCCCCCCCCCTCGTCGTCGCACTAGGCCCTCAGATGCTAATTAGTGCAGGGCATTCTATGCAATATCTGCACCTATCTCTAACGGGTATGAGACAGGACCATCATAATATGCCGCGCTGGTAGGCGTGGCAAGCGCTGCTGTGCCTGATGGACGAGTGGTCCCGCCTGGGTTTTAATTGAGTGTAGCGGACGGAGAAATTCGATGCCACCAGCCATGGAGTCCCGTCTGCGCTTTAATCCATAAGGTTCGTTGCACCAATCAACAAACTTGTGTGGATCGAAAATTTGCCCACATGGCCACACTGTACGCCGCAGGAGCGACGCGACAAATCACGATTGTCTTGTCCGCCTCTCCTTCCCACCCCACTAATGGACATACCCTTTCTCCACGTTCTATGTAACGTAACCAGGTCACACTGCAACTATTGGTAGAGTTTTCCCCTACTACGACCACGCCGCTTGCCCCCCCCTCACTCCCCTCAATACACTGAGAGGGAGAACAGTCATCTCAACTGTATGACACAGTGTAATAGACATTTTCACTGCTCGGAGGAAGAGGGATGACAGGTCCGAAACGGCAAAAATCAACGATTCTACACGATAAAAAAAGAGTTGTCACAAGGTCAAGCACGCCCCCCCCCCTCCCGTCGGGAAATCCACGTTTGGCCTTGTAATACAGTTATACCCAATGCATTGCCCTTCATAACTGAGCAATGGGTGGCAAACTGAACCGGAATAATAACCTTGACTGAACCCTAGCACTAGACTCAATCGCCCTCCATCAGCGGGCTAAAGCCATTCTCGCTGCAGACGCTGCGCGCTTGGCGTGGTACTAGCCCGTTTCAATGACTGTTGTCGCTTGACCGCTTCGACATTTGGTGAAGAACAGGCTGACGCCGGCCAAACCCTGCCCCTTTACACGCCCCAACGTCTGCGGCGAAAACGACTGCATCCCGAAGTTATCTGATCGATCATTCCAGATATGAGTAACACTTGTATGAGCATGGAGGTAGGACTCTCTGGTTGCTGCTGTAATGAAGACGCCTGTCTCACACCAACGAAGGTACTTCAGAGCCATTTTACTGAAAACTAGCAAGTAATGAGATAGACAGGTGGAGCTAATCATGCTATTTTTTCAGTCACCTCTGAACAACCCACTGACGTGCTACGTTGGATTGAACGCCCCGAAAGCTGGAATAAACGTCGGAGCTGAGGTCAGTAAAACTTGGATGCATACAGTAAATAAGAGTCTTTACTCGGTGACAGAAGAAAGGCGAAACAGCACTGAGCCATGCGAATACGGGGGTGTTTAAAGGAAGACCCACGATCATTTATAATCATCCAGCCTCTCCATAGGGAGAGGTAGTGTGAACTGCAGCGAACAACCCTGTATAAGTTTCGCGTCAGAAAGTGAAGGAATAGCGGCTATAAGGCTCAAAAAGGTTGCTCAAGTGACTCCGCCCAGGTTTATAGACGCCCTGTCTGCCTTGCTCGTCTGCATGCTCTCTCGCTGTTTTGTCAGGCCTCTCCCCGATATAAATCCACACAGATTCTTTGTTTCTCGCTTGAAACGAGTAGGGCCTTATCTGAAGCATTTTCGACGAGTTCCTCTCCTTTTTTCTTCACGACTCATTGAGGACGTACACCTCTGGTTTTTATCCCCGCTACCCACAAACCTTTCGCTGGCTCATCGCGAACTGCGTTCAAGGCGATCTGGGTTTGGCACGGCGCCAGTGCATTCTTCACCAATTGTGGAGGCTGGCAGGCGACCCTTGGGAAGAGAGAACGCCTGACCGGCCCGAGTGGTGCCAGCACGATCGGGAGTAAAAATGACCCTGAGCATGCCACTGCGTCGCTTCTGCTCAATTAGCCATGGACCGTGAATCTCTAGAAGGTAAAGCACAGCCTCAACCAGCTTTTTTTACCATCAAAGCAGCGTTGTCCACTATGGCCCTTCAACTCGTATATTTCAGGTGGTTTGCAATGGAATGTGCTCTTCGCTGAACGCTATAGTCAATGGCGATAACGTTACCACATTCCAATGTGTGTCAAGAAGCGTCTGCAAGTACGTGGTTGATAATCTGACTACTGTAGGAGGTTACTGTAGAGACCGTACTTGTTTCTAGATCATTCGGCCTTGGAGTCGGTTACGGATGTCAAACCCTACGAGGTGATCGTGAAGTGACCGGATGTTGCTGTGACAACGGAAATGGCTGTAACCTCGCCGCCAGACCGGATGTGAGTTCCGAGGGTCGTCACATAGCCTCATCTGGAGTAACCGCCTCTCGTTGCAGATCATTCAACCAACTCTTGCTCCTTATGTGGAGTTCCCTATCTCATGCTGGAGTGGTGTCTATGTGAATGGAGTTCCACTGTCCAGACCAGGGTTCGTTTAGCTTTCGGGACAAGATCAGACCAGAGTTGAGCTAACTCCGCTTTCAGTTACCAAAGCTGTAACGGAGAGTGCGCCTCGTTGACCTTGGTCACTACCATCAATCAAGTCACTCACAACGCTACCATGTACACCTGCGATCCATCGTCTGTCTGCAAAGCTCTTAGTACGTAATACCATTCGACTACCAGCGAAAACAGGGCACGGAAACCCGCCCAAAGTGGGCGGTCTGTCATCGAGCGTTAACTGACTGGCTTTTTTCCAGAGATGTACAACCAGTGCACCACATTGGAGACCGGACTCAGTGGATGTTGCTGTGATACTGACGCCTGCTTGAACCCTACCAGGGTGGGTTGTGCCTAGAATGTGGTCCCAAAGCAGAAATCTCATTTGATCCTGTTTTCAGGTACCTGGAAGGCCACTGTGGTGCTATGTGGGACTCATAGCCAAAAAGGCTGGAGTGAACGTAGGAGCTGAGGTGGGCGATTCAGCTGGCATCAAAATATCTAACTGTACTAGTAATTCCATGTCTCCTACTTTAAGGTCGCTTGTAATGGAATGTGCTCTTCTTTGAGCGGAAAAGTCAATGGTGACGATGTCACGACATTCCAATGTGTACCCAATAGAGTCTGCAAGTAAGAGGGCATCTTGGTGGCTTAGGTAAATATCTCAGGGCTTGATCACTCACTTTCAGAACTTTCTTGAACACCGACGGATGCGCTACGCTTCAAGGAGATCGCGAAATCACCGGATGTTGCTGTCGTAATGCCGATAGTTGCAATGTTGCGCAACTGAACAGAACTGATGTGAGTATTGAAATTACTCGCAACGAAACGTGCAGCTTCAGACCTCGCGATGACGCGCGTCGATGCGCTACAACGCGCTTTCACGGTAGTGGAAGAATGGGAGTGTACCGAACTGTGTGAATTGTGTGATTAGACATTGTGTACCCTCTTATTCTCCCACAGTACTCGGAGCAACAGCGGCCTGTGCCAACCAATACCCGTTTACAGCATTGCAGTGCTGATGCAATGTGAACGCGTCGATGCGCGTTACAGCGCGTCGCAGCGCGTCATCGCGAAGGTCTGAACGCTGCCTAGGTTCACTAGAGGGCTCGATCAAGCTGTGTAGAACGAGAGTTCAGAGAAAAACCTTGAAAAAAATTATAGAAGCTCAAACTCTAGCAGATGCTTTGAAAGTATGCGGGATTTGGTTCTGGAGAGTCAACGGAGAGGGTCAACTAACTCGTTCAGTTGCGACAATTTTCGGTGTTTCTCTGTGCCCTCATATGTTTTTCTCTGCGCTTTCACGTCTCATGGCATCTTGTGACCTTACACAATCCAACGTCTCACGCGTGAATAGCGGCTTATTCACCCCCGGGGTTCCCCTTCCGCCCCCCCCCCGCCAAAGGGTCATCCATTGGCTCGCCGATGCTTTTGTTTTTCCCCCCCCAAAGGGTCATCCATTGGCTCGCGATGTTTTGTTCAATTTCCGATGCCTTAGCAGCCGCAGCCCTCTGTTTCTCTGCGCTCTTACTCTTCGCGCCAGGACCCCACTAGAAGTCCTAGTTGTCGCGTAACCGTGTAAGCAAGAAACAGCATCACTGAGCACTTCGTGACCTATTGAGCTGTTTTTTGGGAACTGTATAAGCCAAGGTCAGCCACTGAAAGCGTAGGAGCGCGCCTAGGTGATGGTGATGATACCGAGCCTCGCCCCCGTAACGTGACACCGGTCCACAAAAGAATCATCTTCCCCTTCCCTCATTTGTTCCGCTCCCCTTTCTCCTCCACCTTCCGGAGGATCCGCCACCAAATGTAGGAAAAACCAAAATGATCTACTGTTTCCGCCACAGCAACCCAGCATGCAGCTGCCATCTATCGAAAAAACTCGCACTGTTAGGGTGATTCTAAAGCACCTCATTTCAGCTAACCAAATCTCCCAAAAACCTTACCAGCACAATCATTATTGTTCGCCAGATCATCCTACCAAACACCCCACCCACGTCCAACACTATCCAATCTTCTTGCTGGACCGGCCTGCGTATCACGGCTTAAACGAGCACAATTCACTAGTGGGCGGGTAAGAGTGCACACAAAAAGATACTGTAGCAGAACAAATCGTGTACCTGCAGATTCTCCACCTGCTATGGCGATTGCGCCTCGATCACGTTGAGCACGACCATCAACAGTCAGAACCACACCGCCACCATGTACATGTGCGATCCCGTATCGCGATCTGCTAGAGCTTTGGAGTAAGGTAGATTGTCCATATTCTGCAGGCTCCACGGCAGTTTTTCAAACGTTGATTTTTTCAGACATGCTCCAACCAAGGCAGCACAGTCGCAGCAGGAGTTAGCGGATGTTATGCAATGTAATACTGACGCCTGCCTTTAAACCCTAAACAACTAAACGTCTCGTATGTATTATCGACTTAATGACTACAGTAACCTCTGGCCCACGGGAACAGCGGGCAGGTGCGGGGGGGGGCGAGCTTCGTCCGGGGGTGCGCATTTTTGCACCATTCCTACTTCCCATCGGCCCCCTCCACGCGCCGCATCACTTAAGCACTCACCGCAAAGAGCCGCATCGCCTCCCTTAGAATTCCATATCGCGAACATATCGCGCACGCGTTGTCGAGCAACTGACGGAGCTATTACGGTTGTCCGGAAAAGTTCTTCAGATTCGTTTTGCCGTGTCATTCACTTTAAACGATCGTAACTTTTTTAATACTCATCGGATTTAATCGAAATAGGCACCATTCGAATCAGCACACTTTTGCCAATGTGACAGCAGTCGAGAAATCCCATCAAAGTAAAAAACTGGGTGGTCGAAAATTTACGAAATCCACTAAGGCTTTTTGGCCTGATCCTGCATTGCATATAAGCAGTTTTCCAGCAAGCGGATCTGAAAATGTTAGAAAAAGCGCTGATAGTTGATTGCGCGAACAGGTCTGAAGAATTATGGCGGTTGAGGAGAAGCTTCACACCCCAATTCGCTTCAACTTTATCTACACTGATTTGTTGAAACGGTTAGGCGGCGGCCGTTGTCCAGGCAAACGCGAAAACGGACCTTTCTTTTGATAAGTGTTGGCTGCATCTGACAAAATTTTCGGTACAATTCGTCGATTTCTTCACAGTAGGGTTCTGCTGTGATGGTTTGGCCTGGTGATAAAAAGTTATAGTGGATCACACCAGCCGATGACCACCAAGCCGTGACCAGAATCTTTTTTCGTGAGGGTTCGGCTTTGAAAATTACCTCGGTGGTTCGTCGAAATCCAACCACTGTCCGGAACGTCTCCTGTTATCACACATGACCCATTTTTCATCACAGGTGACAATTACGGCCCAAAAACAGGTCGTTTCTGCTGCGCAAAAGCAATGCAGAAGGAACCTCAAGACGTGGCCGTTTCTGCCGTCACTGCCGATTGTGGGACCACCACATTGCTCGATTTTTTTCACCTTCCCAATGCGTTCCAGACCATCTGCAACAGTGGATTTGCCAAGGCCTAGCTCTTCTGCTATCTCTCGAACTGTTTGGGATGGGTCAGCCTCCAAAATCCCCCTAAAATCCTCGTCAGATATTTTGCTTCTCACCACTTCAAGGCTGAAATCTCCAGAACGAAATTTGTTGAGCCATTGCCGCACAGTGCTTTCTCTAGCACTATTGGGCCCCCACACCTGGTTAATTTGTTGAGCTGTTTCGATTGCGGATTGCCCCAATTTATAGTCGAAGAAAAAAATCGTCCGAAGTGCTCTTTTCACATGCTTGAAAATCTCGAAAAAAGGGGGTTTATTAAGCAATCGGCTGCAAAACTGGCAATTACCACATCAATAGCGCGCGACGAAATTCTCTACAGGAATGTGCCACTGAATGTACGAAACAAATAGACGTGCACAAAAAACGCTAAGAACTTTCCGGACAACTAATATTTCATGAGCTTACAAGAGTTGACAGGTTTTACCATGATGGCTTGACGAGCTTGCTCCAGCTTCACAAGAGTTCACAGGTTTCACCAGAGTGAGACTTGTAAACCAGAACTAGTGAAGCAGCGAAAGTGCAAAATGCCCTCCCTCCCCTCCGTCGCCGAACTGAGCCCTAATCTCTTGAGGACAATGAGCATCGCTATCCGGCAGGGGTCAGAGTAGGGTAGCCATGGCCGCCCAAATAAGAGTTGAATGGGGGAATGGCGGGGCATGGCTAGATCTGTGAGTGCGCTGGACATATGTGTACTTGCAGACCAACTCCTTATTCACGGACTAGAAACCTCAGCCTCGCCTTATCAAAGCTCCCGTGGAACTTTTGGGCAGAAGTAGCTGGGGTGTGTAATACGGCTGCGTGTTTGTGCCACGTCATCTCTGCACGTCTGCGCCCTCTCATATAGGAGGAATCGCTCACCCACCGCCTCAAAAGGACGTGATAAGATTAGACGAGACAAAAGATTTGGGTCATGACGAGACATACTTCGCATCACTGCGCGCTGCTCCCCCTCCCCTGCTCGACCACCTTGGCCCAGGGATTAGTCATGAATACGTGGATTGGTCAGCACTAAGGAAGATGGAGGGGACACAGTTAACAAACTGGACCACATTCCTGGCTAAACCCAACTAGTATTAGGCAAATTCCTTCGAAAGTTATCCTATTGAGGGGGAGGGGTAACAAGTGGGCATAGGCGTGGTCTAGTCTTGCTGCTGACGAGTTTCCTTAACTACCTTATTACGTTCCCTAGCCTGACCTCAAGTTCCTGCCGGATACCCACGCATATTCTATAGCCCGGAGATGGAGGGGACGTGGCTGCGTGCTTTTTAGACGATGACGTGGGGGCGTTTTCGTGGGGTCTCCCAATCTGGGACAACTGTCATACAGTCAAGGGCTCAACAAAACGAAGGTTCCAAAAACCCACATGTTTAAATGGAGCACGCAACCACGCCCTTTCCGTCTGCGAGATATGAAGCCTATATTACCTGAACCCAAACAATGCTCCGATTTTTAGTATCCTGGAAACCCTCTGGTGTGTTATGTTGGAATCTACTACGAGAAGGACAACTACAGCCGTCGGTTCAGAGG